CCCCCCCCCCCCCCCCCCCGAATCAAAAGTTTTATTACCTTCAGGTGTAAGTACAAGGATTGGTGTAGTGCTAAATCAAGTTTCCTTTGCATGCACTGTGTGATTTGGCATGTTTCTCAGCAAGTGCTTGCTAAATAAGATATTGCAATAACCCCGGATTTTGTGCAGGTGTGCAAAAGAAGTAATCCTAGACTTGATTTGAACACACCAGCTTTTGTTTGCATCTGACTGATTTTGTGTAGGGAACCTACCAAATTAATGATTACACAATTTTTGCAGAAACCATGAATTTGGTAGGTCCCCCATGAAAAAGCCCGGTCCCTATGAAAAAGCACAGGGACCACAAAAAGCAGGAAAATGGGGGGTGGATTGGGGCAGCTACAAAGAGAGGCAGCCTGGCATCCTGAAGTATGAGGGGAGGGTGAGACATTTTCTCAGCGGAGCATGGTGGGTCCCCCCTCTAATCTGGCTATGGGGCCCTGGAACTCCTGCACCTCCCCAGAGACTGACAGGCGGCCATCTCTCAAGCTCCAGGGAGGTGCAGGACTTTCAGGAACCCACCATGCTCCACCATAAAAATGGTGCCAGGCACTGTGCCAGGACTTCAAAATATGGAGGCAGCCCTTGTGAATTGGGTAGGTTCTTAATGATGTGTAAGAATCAGTAACTCTTGAGTAGTAGTTTTAACAACTCTAGTGAGGTTTTATAGACCCAGTGAATTTATTATTTAAGTCTTTTGATATTACTATTTAAGTCTTTTGATATTATTTTTGTGGCAGAGAAAGGAAGCCAGAATATTTGCATTTTTCAGAGGTAACATGGTTCAGTATGCATGTTACAGGCTTTAGTTAAGCTTTGTCACTGATGTTCTTTGTGACCGTAGACAGTTCTTTAACTTCTGGCTCAATCTTTATATCTGTAAAATGGGGATTTACCAGCTTCAGAAAGTTCTTTGTGATCTATGTGGGCAGTTCACTGTAAAAAAAAAAAACAACAACAACAACAAAAAAAGTAACATGTTTACCCTTATGTCATAAGTGGGGAAAACAGATTAGGAAAACTAATCCACTCACTCAGACATTCACACTGTGGAAGATCCGTCTCGTAGTTACATACAAGCTTTTAGTGTTTTTGTTTTTTTTCTAGTCTGACTGGATGTTAAATGCATTTGTTTTAGTTTTGAGTATCTTCTATTTTGGAAAGCTGTCTACCATCAATAATTGTGCACAGAACTGAGAAGTAAAATTAAATTCCTCATCTTAAGATATTTGTTGTTGAGCAACTCATTGATTGCACTGATGTTATTTAATGTAGACAGTTCAGAATACCTGTCAAATAACTTGTGCTGGTTGATATTTTCAGTACAAAGAAGATGCATTTAAAATCTAAGGAGCAATATAAATGTACATTTTTCTCATCAATATGGAAACTTCTCCATCACTCTAGGAATGCACTTTTTAACTTCATGGGATAGTATTCCTGTATCTAGTCCTTGGAACAAACAGCCTTTTCAAACAAAAATAGACGCGTTCTGAGAAACCTTACCTCATTTGTGATGTGGGTATATGTTCATTAAGCACTATCTTGAAATGAAACTTTTTCAAAGGACAGTTCAGAGCCAAACCTGACTAATTACTAAGCATGTTAAGCCATTACAACACTAACTTTCCTTCCAGCAGTTTTTGTTGAAAAACAATATTTTTTCTAGCTACAGTTTTACAAGACACGTAAGCAGGAAACATGACCAGTCTGTGCTCTCTGACCTTCAGTGACATTTGGAAGAGCTAACTTCATGCAACTTTCTATACAGATTGCTTCAAAGCATGTATTTGGAGGTTCTAATTCTGCAAAAACGTCTAGTCAAGCAAACCCATGCAATTGCACAAGGCCCCTTTGGGCTGTAATGAAGTTGATATATACAGAGGAGCTTGAGGGATCATAGATCTTTTAGGACTTTAGCGTGCAAGCCCTTTTGTAGGAAGTATCAAAAGTCTTTGTATATAAAATAATTGTATCTATTTATACTGTCCCATATAGATAGACCACTAGCTGCAATTCCTCTATAAACTGAGTTTTTGGTCTCTTTCTCTGCTGAAGATGTATGCATTTTTAGTCCTATCCATGTACATTTCAAATTGTTTTTATTTATTCAAACTGATTTCAGACGCACTACATCACTTATAAACATATAATGTATATTTTTTACTTTGTATGTAAGACTCATTAATGTTTTCCTTCATGCTGATAAAAATAATATTTACTGGATCAAAACTGAGGTATTTGTTCCTGTTGGAAAAGCTATTTTCCCATTAAATCTAAAACCAGCTTTCTGGTTTACCAAAGTAATGTAGATACTGTAAATAGGACCACTTTAAAAAAAAAAAAAAAAAAAAAAAAGGGGGGGGGGGGAAGCATGCAGATAGAGAATAAAAACCATGAAGGACATAAGTGCATGCTCTCTCTTTTTCTCTGACCTTTAGTGAGCTCTGAGAAGCTAAGCACCTAAGTTCTGCAAGTTGGTCTAATAAAAGATAGCTTTTCTGAACCAAGTGTTCTAGCGTCTTGCATTTCTTAATATCTGCAACACACTTCCATTTTAGAGAATTAACTTTTCTAACTCTCCTAGTTGTGAAAGTAATCTAAATGTGAATCTAGTGGTAATCAATGTAGAGCTGAATTTCTGAGTCTACAGTTGGATAAGTTTGGTAGTTCTGCTGTTCAGTTTTTTCCAAATAACAATCTGACAGGCTTTTGGTTGGTTTCTAGTCTAGCCAACAATAAATCTTGCTGGCAATTGTGCTGGCAAGAGTCAATTCAATTTGCTGCTGCCATGAAAAACTGAGAGGCAGCAGGAGCAGGTTCTAGAATTAATAATTGTGAAGGAAACTCCCAAACCTCTGGAGTCTGGGAAAGGTATAGAATAAATGTGACCTTTTTCTGTTTTTTTTTTTCTTCTTCCTTGCTGTTGATAGAGGTTTGTTTGGTTTAAAGATTCAACTCGCTGCCTCCTCTCCGAGCTGAGTGGAGAAATCTGCCAATATACACCTCTTGCTATGGACAGCCATACCTCATAACCTATTAGAGGACTAGGGGAGTTATTGTTTGGACATGCCCACCAGCTGTCACGATTTAACTGTTACATTTGCATCCTTCTAGCACCTTATATGGGTATTGTTTGATACCTGTAATTGTTAGGTCTCTCTCTACTTTCTGTCCCCCCAAGGAAGATCTTGAATGAAACAGGCTGACAAAATTAGAAATTTTTCTTTTAATGTTAAAAAAAGCCATGTATGCAGAATTCCTCTTTCCCCTGTAACAGAGCACCTTTAAGCTTTTTGAATTTCTGTTGTATGCCATCAAATGGCAAGGAGAACAGCCTGGTTTCCCCACTTATCCCTACCTCATTTTTTCAGGCTGCCTTAGTAAGAGGAAAAAGAGTTGAAAAAGAAAGCAGTAGTTTGGTTTCTTCAAATAAAATGTAAAAAAAAAAAAAAAAAAAAAAGGAAAAAAAGTTTACTTTTAAAT